CCCCAAACGGTAGAACTGCACATGCGCAAAAAGGCTCGATAGTACGGCTCAACTAGTTAGAACACCGGCTGCCGCAGGTCCATCGTGTCTTGATGTAATTCAAAACCGACGCGCTGTCGTGCACCGCGTACGTTTCTCATTGTTAAGGTCTGTGTCATTGACCGGTGTCTCCCTACGCGTTTTATTCCGTTTACCTATCTATAAATCTGCGCTTCAAGCTGAGCAGCGCGGCTCGCCTCATAGTTATAGCCGTCGCCTCCCCTCAATGTGACAATGTGCCACTTTCGCCTTTACATTCAACAAGAAGTGCATTAAATCAACGTAGTTGTTACCAAGTCTCTATGAATCATCCACGAGTTATATTTTTTTAAAAGCTTTGAATTGAAGGTTAATCTCACTATACGAAGATCTGGGACATTCAGTGCTTTATAATTTGTATAACAGGTTTCACTCGCCTCGCTTTTCTGTTACTTACTGTGGCCGTGGATTTATGGCTTCGCTAACAGAGGCCGTTTTACGTCCGGATCGATGTCCCCGGACCGGTTGCGTGACGAGGTTTGTTAATTGATGACCTACACCAAAATCCATTAAGTCTCTGGTGGCAGCAAGGCGTGCAAAAGTGCAGAGCTACGTGCCAAAGCATACCTCAGTGTACTCGAGAAGATTAAATCTTTATATTATGCATTGTTAATAAACACGTTATGATAAGCTTATGGATAGAAAAAATATTTACAACAGTCACAGTGTAGGAAGTTCTAAAATACCACATAAACGAAAAGCCTTAGATTTTATGATATTATCGAAAATCATTAAATGGCATTCGCTATATATTTCTTTCAAAGTTGACAGTAATTAGTGGTAATTTCGAAGCTGTCAGCTTCTAAAAATAATAATTATCGCGGCCTGTTCATGAATCAAAGGAGTATGGCCTGGTTCAGGTTTAAGTGTTGCCTTAAATCTGCAGCATCAAGTCGAGAAATGCAAATTTGTTAACAAACGGGAAGTTAAAATAAATACGAGCCGACGACCATGATGGAGGATTTGGAAACTTAAAGTGGACACGGACTGCACACCGCAACATAGCGCTGGTAGGCCTCCCCGTATTTGTAAGCATGTGGTTATGCCTTAAAAATGTTGCCCTTATCCAGTTTTTAATTGTAGAAGCTCTTAATATTTTATTATTCTCACTCTAATTGCATTACTACGCAGTTATTTTAAGTAGACTATAACATGCCGAAACAGAATGCGTTTCAAATGCTCACTAGATATTGCAGCGGTAGGCATGGGCCTATTGTTTTGTTTTGATGCCGTTAGGAAATTAAATGGATGGATGTTTTGATACAAATGTATACAAAAATACAGAGGGTAAAGCTGCAGGTATGTTCACCCCTCCCCTCATTTCCAGTTAATTTGGCCAGTGTTTTTTATGATGGATGCCATGTAAAAGTAGTTAGTGTCTTAACAAGCGGGACAAAGGACATGGCAGCAAGCGGGATGAACAAACACAAGGGAGTTTATTAAACTAAACAGGGGAAAATGACCAAGAGAATTACAAGGGATCCAAACAGGAAGAATAACAATGGGCAGAACACAGGCAACACGAGGGTACAATATTAATGACAGAACTGGGAAGCACTTAAGTACAAGACTCACTAGGCAGCAAACAGGAGGCAGCTGGGAATGCTTAACAAGAGGGCAGGAAAGAAAGGTAAGACTTAATGGGAATCAGGCGTGGCTCATTGGAAATCGGAGGGGCAGAGAAGCAGGGTGTGGCAGATGGAAAAATTACAAAAATTTTAACCTTCTTGCATACTGATGGCGGGTATAGTGATAGCAGTGATAGACTTGCATAAAGTTTATCTCATGAACCAATACATCGATTGATCGATCGATTGATTGATTTATTGATGATTATTGAATTTTCATGCTAGGTAACCTTCCTACCAGCACTCAGTGCCATTACTGCCCACTGAGGGTAGCAGACAACCACAATGTCAGTCGGAGGAAAAACACACAGGTAAACCATGCTTGATTAGTATAACAATTACCGTTACATTTACCAGACATACCACAGCAAGTGTTCTCTTAAGATCTAAACCTTTTGATTCCAATCCCAGTTAACAAATGGTGTCCCTGTGCTGGATTTAATTTTAAGTCAGTCGATTCACAGACTTAATGCAATTGCCGTTAATGGTTTTACAGTTTGTTTACAGATGTCAAATGTGCTGATATCCAACAAATTATATTGCGATAGCAAGGTCACTGGTGTGTGAATGGCACAGAGGGAAATGAGGAGGATAGGCAAGGCGATCATGTTTTACAGTGTTGGGAATGATGTCACATGGTGGGCAAGAAGCTGCTGTAGGGAATTGGGTAGCAGATAAATACTGGGAAACAGCCAAAAAAAAAACTACAAACACAGCAAGCCAAATAAATGAAATGTTAAAAAAACGAGATTGAGGTCCTTCAGCCCGCCCTGCTCCTTTGGGAATTTAATAACTTTGCGTGGGGAGAATTTAATGTAGTAAATCCAAGCTGACACAAGCAAGGCTGAGGAAACAAGTGGCAGGAGACCTGGAGATGTACTGGGACCGTATTTTTCAATCCGCACCACAGCAGGAATAAAACAGGGAACGGCGTGATAAATGGGTGGTGTTGGGCACATGCTCAGTTCCTGCACCAATTTATAACTGTTAGCCTGTTATTGTGTATGAGTGAGAGAGGATGTGTTTTTGCTGTCTTTTTTTGGGGCTTTTTCCCTCCAAGACCTTAGTGTACCTTATTTATTTTAGGTATTACTCATTATCCATTTTTGAGTTACGCTGGACTAGGATTAGGCTTAATGACATCACAATAGGCGTCACTGGTAAGACCCAACAAGGAAAGATACCTTGCAGCTGAAATGGCAGGCAAGCCTGACAGTGCAGTGATTAAATAATAAATATTCAGAAACATTTCTTCACCTTGCCGACATGATACTTGTTCCTCGGAATCTGTGAGCTGTTCAGAGGTGGACTGGGAAGCCTGATGCCATTATTGTATTGAAATCTGTATTGAAAGTGGAAACAGTGGACAGATGAGTGTTGGTATGACTGCTGGTGGAGGTTTCATTCACTGTCCGGCCAATAAATGGAGATGGATCATTTTCTAGTAACTCAAAGGTACTTGAAGGTAAAATAGAAAAGGTAAATATAGCCGAATAGGCTCGCCTTTTATCAGGAAGGACATGAGGCAGTGGGAGGGGTGCTTGGACCCCCTAGATTTAAAAGGACAGGATGATTGGAGCCTGCAATCTCCAGTGGAGCATATTCAAGCAAATGATGGTGGTGGGTGGTGACCAAGCCTGGTCGTCATTTTTTCCATGCGGGCTCGTCGTGTAGAATATGTGCTGAATACCAGGAGGACTGTGGCTGCTCGACAGATGCGTGTGTCTGTGAAATAGCATCAGGGGAAAATCTGGAGGGAAAAAGCTACAGAAATCGAAAGGAAAAGATTGCAAAGCTGAGATGTTGAGATTTTGTTGCAGCCTGTTCTCTGGAGACTGCAAAGCCCGTCGGGTTCCTACGGACTCAGGTGTAGAGCAGTAGCTGTGTAGTGCTGCACCGCGAGATGCATGCATGCTCTTCACGTCCGCTTTGGCCTTTGTCAAGCGGCAGCCGTGCTCCTCGCACAGCTTGGACTAGCCGCCCACTTCCAGCACTGCTTCCTCCTCGTTATGGAAGGCGTTTCGAGCCAATTAAATGTCAACGGCATCACGCTTCACTGCCACGGTCCGGTCTCCCCGCTCCCCTCCCCCGATCGGTGGTTTAAGGACGGCCAAGAATCCCCCCCTTCGCATGGTGTGCTACTCCGTCAGTGTCCCCTCCCCCAAGGTGACACCGGTATTTCCTGCCCCGGTGAATCATCGGAACGGCCAAACGCAGCTCTGAAAATCGCTGACTCGCTGCAGGTGACAGTCCCTAATCCTCTTGATTCTTATACATTCTTAATACCAGCAGCTGAATATCGCTCAAATGTACAAATAAATAAATAAATAGAAACAATGTGTTGTTCGAAAGTGTGGAACAAGAGTGGATGCCACCTAGTGGTGGAACCTCATAAAGATGTAAATATGACGACTTAACTGGTGTAGTTGATGCAGGAGTTGCTGTTCGTTTTCTTTCCATATATCCATGCCTTTTCGATACCACTTTTTATGAAAAAGGTCGTACTAAGTCTGTTGCCACAGGGCTTGAACCTCAGGATACCTTGGATGGGATGTCAGAACATTGTATAGCTGGCACTTTGCCTAATCCTGTATTTTTGATCTGGCAGTTTGAGTCGTCGGTAGGGGTGGACTTACCATATGTTAAATACAGATAGTAGCATGGGGATCCCACAAACTAGGGTCCCCATGAGGACAGAATTTCCAGAAGTTACATTCATGGATATAAGATAATATGATCATTTTTTTTATAGTGACTTGTCTATTACTTGCATTTTTAGCAACAGCTTTCAGGAGAGACAAAATTCCCCTCCTGGCTGTAATGGACTGTTCCGACTTTGAGACTTTCACGCTACCCAGCTTTCTTTTCACACTGGAAGTCTAGTGGTAGGCTAGCGGTTGTTTCACTGCCAAGCAAACTGGCACAAAGTAGCCTAACAGAAGAAGGAAACGGTGCAGACATACAAGACTAACATTACGTCTCCTGTGTCTTTGATACTGTCTTGCTAGGGTGGTAGACAAATTGTGAACAGACTGGAGAGAACAAAATTAAACAAACGTATGAACACAAATCAAGACTAACCAGATGGCCCACTTAGGGGGGAGTTGCATACCCTTGTCAGCCTAGGGTTCCCACAGGAGTTGGTCTGTCCCTGTTTACTGGTGTGTGTTGGCCGAAAGTGTCTTCTGAAACCCCGACAAGCAACAGTTTCCCCCCTTTTCTCGCTGGGGTTTCGGTTCTCTGACTTATGAATTACGAAGATGATTAATGATGAGGACGTGGGGAGCCGAGCATTAGAGGCAGCAGACGTTGGCGGCGGCTTCTTATTTTCCAGCTCGCTGATAACGGAACGGGCTCGCGGTCAAAAGCTAATACAGTAATCATTCATAAAAGGCCCTTTACCAGAAAAATCCCATCAGAGGGGCTTCCTTGCCATGGTGGCTCGCGGTCTGAGAGGAGCCTCAAGGTGATTGGGCGCAGAAAACACTATGTTGCCGCTAATGATGCATAAATTTAAAGCGTTACGCTTGGAATGCTGGGCGAGGTATGGAGAGTGACTCTTATTGACTCGATCCTGCCGGGCTTCGACCGCTGATCGATACGGACGAGGGCTGTGTCCATCACGCCAGCTTTCATGAAGCACAAATAATGTACTTCATGGCACGCTGCCTCTGATATTACCCTGCTGCAGTTTAGCAGTGCATAGAGGGAGGGGACATTCATTAAAGGTTCTGGTAGTTATTGTTAAACTGCACAAATCAGAGTAGAATTGGAGTCCTTGATGGAATTGATTTGAATTTCAAGTGAAGTGTGCTTTATTGTCTTACCATCCATATAGAGGTATACAGCAGGATAAATAATGTTTCCTCAGAACCACAGTGTAACATACAGACATCATTGACTGGGGGAAGGTTTTCACAGTGCTTAAAATACAAAAACACAGAACCATATGAAACGGGGGGCTGGACACAAGGGTGGTGCAAAGGGTTAGTATGTAAACAATAAGAGAGACAGTAGCAAAATAACTAGGTTGGTTGAATATAATGGCTAAAAACTGAAATTATAGCTAAATATATAGTAATTCATTTTAAATGTTATTCTTTACATCTGGTTGCTGGCTGTTATTCGGGAATATCAGGCTGTGGGTACCTGAGGTAGAGTATGGCGGCGTTCTGCACGTTTGATACGGCTTTAGTCAGTCTGGCCTCTGTCAGCCTCTGTGTCTGCGGTCCTGATGTCCAGTGCGAGCTGACATTATCTAAAAGGTCAAATGGGGCCCGAGTCGATGGTGCGGTCAGTCGATTTGCGCTCACTCCTGCGCGTATAGTGCTTTGGACTGACATCTCACACCATCTGTGGGCCAGTGCGCTCAGGGCGTAGACAGGAGCAGATGGAGACATCGAAGCTGGCAGGTCGTCATGTGACCCAGACGCCGGAGACTTGAAAATCCAGTGCTGCTTTCACTGTTCTGTGACACCGAGGAACTGGTTTTTAAGAATTTAGGTTTTCAGAAAAGTCTAGACATCTGGTAGCAATAGTCTGGGAAAAGCAGAGATCTTTGGTAATTCATTCCTTGGCGAGCTTGCCTCTGTGTGGATGTGTTAACGGGAGGGAAATTAGGTGGCAGCAATTACAGAAATTAATGCAATTAAAGGGGGGAGGGGTGGTAATTAAAGATGTGACACATGGAAGTGAACATCTGGAGCAGGAATATAGTAGTAGGTCCTGGTAAATGGAGAATGAGGCTTTGGGACTGACAGTCTGTGCTGTACTCTGTCCTGTCACTTACTGCCTGCCCGCAGCGGATAATGGGGGGGAGCCAGAGAAATGGACTGAAGGGGGGGGGGGGGCAAGTCTTATAAATATTTAATTTTAATATATTCACTTTTCACTAGGTGTATTTAATAGTTTTTTTTTCTGTCACGCATTCAGAAAATTGCCAAGTTAAATTAAAATGCATACATAAGTAGCATCTAGGAGCGAATAACAAAAGCTGGGTGCAGTTTAGCTATATTTTATTTTTATTATTTAGACGACGGGCACTTTGGTTGTTTACCTGTTTCTGTGAGCAGGTAGATAACACCAGTTTAATTACATTTAATGTGGTTGCGTTTGTGGACGTTGAATGATATGTATACTTTGTTCCCAAGAGGAAATGTGAACATTTTGATCAGTTAGGCTGTAACCTTCATGCACTAAAACTGGGGGGGGGGGTTCGTTAAAATTTGTTGTCTTAGCATCACCACTACTATGCAGATTTAATTAACAGGAACCACTGAATTGTAGGTTAACCCAGTTGGTGACTTACAACTCAACCATAATTCCCCAGCAGTTTTGATCTGGAAGCTTAACACCATAACGGGTAGGCATTGTGTACGTCTGCAGTGTTAACCTGTAAAGAGCTGATGCTCTTCAAAGATGCTTTGGGGTTATGGTTAGTGAGTTCGTGTCCCCCTATAGGAATGGGTTATGGTTAGTGACATTGAAGCTGTGTTACTAAGTTACTCCAAATCACCCTACAGGAGTGGGTTCTGTGACAACTTTGCTCAAAGAGGTTCACCCCAGTGACTGTGTTCACCTCAACAAACTGCGTCATCGCAAGTGTCGCAGTCAGCGTGTAGCTAAATGCTGAGTGTGATGAGAGGATGCTGGTGAAAGCAGAACACACCAGGGGGCATTGAAGGGGGGAGCAAACAGTCTGAGTAAGCTGCTTGGATCTGGAAACAGTTCCGTTCTGCACCATTCCCCCCAAGTCTTGCTTTTCTGTGTTTTTTTTTTTGGCAACAGATTTAACCTTCCTTACGGTGGGCAGGTGAGATGTGAGTCTACGAGAGTTAAAAGGACTTTAATGCATGCCTCTTAAACTCTCCTATAATAAGGCCTTTAGTGAGACCAAAATACTGGGTACTTTTGTCAAATCCGAGAGCAGCAAATGAGGGTCTCAGAGTAGGTTTCTTGTTCTTCTGCTTATTGTAAGATAGGATTAAATCAGATGACCCTTCATTTCCCCACAGGGGGAACAGTATTCTTAGTCCAGCAGTAAAGATAAGCAGAAAAGATACAGATATACAGACGATAATAAAAATAAGCACCAGATAATATGCATAGTATAAAGGGTTGATAGTGTGTGTGTGTGTGTGTGTATATATGTGTGTGTATGTATATGTGTGTGTGTATATATATATATATACACACACACAAACTTTTACAGAACACTGAGTAAATACAATAAAATAAAGTACAGTGAATACAGCTGGGGATATAACTCTGCAGAATGACAATATGGTGCAGAATGTATACAGCAGTGTGACATGCACTGTGCCAGCAGGGCAGCAGTAATGAAAATACCGGTCCAGTGTTCCGGGTGGAGCAAAGATGGAGATCGAGGCTTAGACATTAAAGATAGAAGGTTTGTGAAGTTCCTCCGAACCGCCTGGTGTCGGACGTGTCGGAAGAGGAGGTGCTGAATAGCTGAATGGGAATAAAAGAGTGTCTGAAGCTCTCGGGTTAGCATCTTGGGAGATGAGCCTATGGCTGAACGTGATACCCATATAGTCTGTGCTGCAGCGAGTGAACCTGTCAGCATCCTCTCCACGCAGCCCACAAAAGAGGCCCCCAGTCCATCACCTCGAAAGCAGTCCTGCTGAGCCTGCGTGCGGTCCTGCTGGGCCTGCGTGCGGTCCTGCTGGGCCTGCGTGCGGTCCTGCTGAGCCTGCGTGCGGTCCTGCTGGGCCTGCGTGCGTTCCTGCTGAGCCTGCGTGCGGTCCTGCTGGGCCTGCGTGCGGTCCTGTGACCACATCCTCACAGAATTGGTGGGGATGGGATGTAATTGAGCAATGCATGGCTGTGGGCATCGTTGACATTAGTATAGAACAAGTCCAACGTGTTTTGAGGAATCCCAGACATCCCAGATTAGATCTATTTTCCTATCAGCACACCATCATAGCCGATAAAGGGTGTGATGAGTAGCCAGTTGGTTTCATTCCCTCAGGCAGATGTGCTGGTGGAAAAATGTAACAAATCTTTAGAATGGATGGAAAATGAAAACTGGGAAAAATATTACAACGGCATCTCTGGATTAAATGTTAGATAGTGTAGTGAGGTGTCTGCACAACCACAAGGGGGCAGTAGTGGGTGGATGAGCGCATAGCCCAGATAGGCAGTTTTTATCATGACAAAACACCTGGGTGAAATTTGGAGAAGGGAGGGGGGAGGTAACCGGAGGTGAGGTGGGCGGGACCGAGTGATGCAGCGTGGGAATTCCGGTGATTTAAGGCTGACTATCTGCATCCTAACTCTGCCGAGGTGTCAGTGAATGGAGGGTGTGTGGACACTTCGGAACGTGGTCATCCTTACAGTCAGTGACTACAGCCGGTGTCTCTCGCAGTAATGTGAGGTTCGACCCCCTGGCACGATCCAGGGGGTAGCAGTGACTGCTTGGCAGCTGGTTGAGCCGTTTCCAGCCGTGCGTAAATGAGGGCGGGGCCCCACGCCGCCATGTTGGCCAGCTGTCCAGCACATCGATCCTGAGGTTGACAGGTGGCTGCTGTCCAGGGTGCCGCAAGTAGGACAAGCCACCTGTGCATCAGCCGGAGAGGTGATCTGTCTGTCTTCTCTATCTTATACAGTATATCTGTCTATTCTAATGTATAGACCAGGGGTGGGCAATCTTCTCCGCAAAGGGCTGGTGTGTATGCAGGTTTTTGGGATAACCTTTAGGTCAGCTGTTCAAACCCAGGTGTGAGGATTCTTCAGCCAATCAGTCCTCTAATTAGTGACCTAATTAGGGAGTTGCAGCTAAAATCTGCATACACACCAGCCCTTTGCGGATAAGATTGGGTACCCCTGGGATAGACTGACAGATAGATTTTATTGATCCTAAGGGGAAAGCACATCACTGCTAGTATAAGAGGAGCTGATTCTCAATGCTTTGATGTCACAGAGACTGAGATTTAAAAAATACTAATTCTGGACATTAGCATCACTGTTTCCTACTTGCCTGTTGGAAATATGTAATTATAGTGTTATTTTAATAGACTCCAAGCGTTATATTGACTAATCATACACATGTGCGATGTGTGTAATTATAATCTAATTTTTCAAAGCATCTGCACTAAATGAATTACAGTGCAAGGTGTCATTAGCAAAAGAAAAGGAATGAGAAAGGCACTGTGCGGGAATAACCTTGTTTTGTGAAAGAAGGGAATATAATGAGTAGAGAAAAGTAATCTGCACCCAAAGTCCTGATGTACAGAAACCAGCTTCATGATCCATAATACCAATAATCCATCAGCCGTGACATGGCTGGGAAGTGCTATTTGTACAAACCTGCTATTATTCAAAGCTCAAGGATTTTTGTAATAAGAATTAAAAAAAAGAACTTTTATAAAAATGTCTGAATGATGGTGAGAGAAAGAAAGATTTGCAAATTTTTAACGACATAAAAAAGGGGTAAGGTACTGCATGTGAAGCTTTAAAAAAAATCAATTCACTTTAGTGGTTGCTAAGGAACCGATTATCCGGAGCAGAGTGAGTGGCAGGTCCGGCTCGGAGAGGGTCTTTCGGATTCCGGGAATCCATTAGGAACTGAGCCACTGGCACTGAAACTTCCTCAGAACCTGAAAGCAGATTGATTCACCCCCAGCATGAGCTGAAGTAAATATCAGAGGGCCCATCGGGCTGGAGGCCTGCTTCCCTGCTTCTTCATGTCTGTCTCTGTCTGACTCGTCAGATAAGCAGCACAGAGGGACATAGACAATTTGGTGGTGTAATGGCGAAACAGCCCATACGCGCTATGGTGACACGTCGTCAGGAAAGACACGGAACACACTGATGAGCTGGCTAACCTGCAACCGGCCACCCTCTTTGGTAAAGCTTTACGATGCTGAATTTACCCTTGCACCGTCGAAGATATGAATTGGCAGAACAGAGTATTACATTTTTATTGAATCTTAAGTTCATAGCCGTGACTTTTATTGTATATTATCCTTCATCTTGAGAGAAATGAGTGTGGCCTTCCTTCTGATTAGAGTACCCTGAAAAAGATGACCTTTTCTCTGTTATATCATCGTCCTCTAATCTTGGATCCAATAGAGGCGTTGGGAAGGCATAGCAAAAGTGCAATTTATAAATGGGACAGAAATAGCCCAGGAGAAGGAACCAGGAGTCCATTGGCTGAAATCTGGAGAGTTTTACAGTGTTTATAAAAGCACATCTGCGTGTGGATAATCTGTTAACTGGGACAGGCTACTGAGAAAAGTGTTATTGAAGTGTGGGTTTGATCAACCCGAATCATGCGACAGGCAGTACACATACACGTCATATTCGGTAAATCAAGTCATGTCGCATTTTTCCTCTCTGATCCCATCTTAAAACCAAACTGAGGTGAGTGACCTCAACATGCCTGAGTTCGGGCTCATTTATATTCAGATGTGAGACAGCTGGAGCAGAGGAGAGGAAAGGGTATGAGCCACACAACTGGCAGAGGTGGAAAGTTCATGTTCCCATAGTACAAATCCAGACCAAGATTTTGTTTCATCAACCAGTTGAGTATAAAGAGTCACATTCACACAGTACTCAACTGGTTGGGTAAAACAAAATCTTGGTTTGTATTTGTACTTTCTGAACCAGAACTTTTTGATCTCTGAAAATGGGCAGAAAAAAATTTACAATGAAAAAGCAAAACAATGAAAGTTCCACTTCCAGTCCAGATGTTCAGTTTCTCTCTTATTGCTCCACGGTTTCTTGTTTTAAAGCCTTACAGATTATACTGCAGTCATGGGTTGGTTTCCTGGCTTTTTGTATGTACGGAGTTGACCTCTTCTCCCTGTGTTTGTACTGCTTCCCTCCTGCAGTCCAAACTCATACAATTAGTTGAAGTGATGTCTATGAATTAACCACATGTGCGTGTGTAACTGGGCTTGTACCCTTGTGTCATCCTTGGAATTTTTGGGTCGGAACAGGCCTGGCATCCACTATTACCACTGTTTTTCAGGATGGCCCAGCTAGTCTCTGCAGATGCCAGCGTCAGGAAGAAGGCAGCCTGATGTGGAGGGAGGAGTATGCAAAGTTTTCATCATGCCTGCGAATAACTGATCACTCCGCAGGTGGAACTGTGTCATGTTTGAGCTCACAGTAGAACCATCCTATCTTTTTGCCAACCAGGCCTTGTTTGTTTCCATATTTGTTTTTGGATAAATTGTGTGTCTTGGTGTTTACCAGTGCTAAACAGTCCTCTTTCTCCACTCCCCAGACACATCTTGTTAATAGGATCAGACATTTTTAGGACAGTCTCCAAGTAACTGCTATGTCTCTCTTCCTCTCGTAACTATAGTGATTTTTAATACGCATTGTTGTCACAAAGTGGCAAAACGAAGTGGTTCAGTGCAACGACTGCCAAACACACAGCAACACGTATGAGAAATTTCCAGTTTTTACTTCTGCATTAAGACCCACATCACCCTGCCTTCAGTTGCTGCCTGTTTCCGAAACACTTCATTAGTAATAATTCTGGGCGTAATGACCTCATATACAATTGCGTTTCTAATGAAGTTATCTGACTCATTTTTAACAAGTATCTCTTCAGTCTTTAATTGCTCATTCAGAAATACCCAGTACCAATTAATACACAAAACATATGAATATTTAAAGTAATTTTGTAGCACGACTTTTTGGAATTAAGGATTAGAGGAGCTTGACCTAGATTTATATCGCTGTAATATTTTGCTAACCTTTTGTACCCAAGGCAGTGTTGTGTGTTTTTCTATTCTGTTTATATTATTAGTGTCTATTTTCAGTCTTAGTAATTTAAGTAATTTCATCATGGTTTGTTTGAATTACATTTTATGGGACCACCTAGTTGGCGCCCAGCACAGCCTGCGCTAATGGTTTACAGGGAGTAGCAGTGTGGCTTCTTGCTGTTGTAGCACGGCGAGGTTATGCTAAAAATGGTAAGAACACTCACCTAGCCTTACTCTGCGAGGAGGCTGCCTCCCCTACATTCCCATCTGCAGTGACGTGATAAATCTCACATTTACGCGAGAGATAGGAGGGAATCAGATTTTAGCTCATAGCCTCAAGGTGCATTGGGGGGGGGGGTATCGCACAGAGGGCAGAAAATTCAGTGTGACAGGTGTAGGCAGTTTATTATCCCAGGGTGACAGGATGGAAAGATTATCGGCAGCACAGGAAGTGCGGTGCCCCCAAGAACAGAGAAAGGCGCATCATCGTCATTTGTCATTTGCGATTGTCATCTCTACGCTCGTTGCTCGTCTCGTGGCCCAGCCCTCTCTCACCACACATTTATCCTCATCCTCCCGCATCGCCGCCCCAACCCGTAAAACCAAGAATATACGGCCACTGCGGAAAAGGATGGATGACCTTGAGATGGGACCCTTCCCATAGTCTGGGACCTGATGGCCCGTCGGCGCTCGAGTCCGGATGGATGCGTGGCCGTGCTTCGTTATAGGGGGAAAAAAACAGCACAGCGCCAACCTTTGTTAAGCTGGAAATGGAGTCCGTTAGCCTAAACACCTGGCATGATGACTGTCAGACTGAACCTCATTTAAATGCCTATCTTCATGTACCTGAACATCTGCAATTATATCAGGAAAACCACCAACTGCTCTGCAGACATTACTGTAGAAATATGCACTCAGTACCCTAGAGTGCATGTTAACCAAAAGCCTATAAGAGCCATGGTCCCACTCCTTCCTTTACTGACATCAGGGGAAATGAAAGAACATAAATTTACAAACAAGAGGAGGCCATTCGGCCCATCAGGCTCATGTGAAGAAAAGCTAATTTGGGGAAGAGCACTTACACAGTCCAGTTCTCTAAACAAGATCTCTGGTCTGGCTGTGTGCTGACTGCCCCCTACTCTGTGATTGGCTGTCTGCTGACTGCCCCCTACTCTGTGATTGGCTGTCTGCTGACTGCCCCCTACTCTGTGATTGGCTGTCTGCTGACTGCCCCCTACTCTGTGATGCCTCCCACAATCCAGTAATGGATCCCTTCTCTACTACCCTGCTAAAGCTAAAGAAGAACTGGTTGATCCTTTCTAAAAAATTTGAGGACTATGACGATCAAATGTGTCGGTCATCTCGGGACCCACAACTTAACCTGCTTTCCAATATGTGACAATATGTGTGTTTTAAAAGGTTGTTCAGCGATGGTATTACAGGGTATTCGCTGTGGTCATCTGCATTTTATGTAAGCATTTGCACAGCTTTAAAAACACACACAACTGGAAGGTAAGAAGCAAGATAGACACACACTTTCATTTAAAACTAGGTACGTTTTATTGGGAAAAGAAGAATGCTTTAAAAACAATGAACACCGGTCTGTGTCAGTGGCGTAGTATGAAGCACACTGAAGAAAGCGAGAAGCAACGGCAAGATTGACCCTTTTAAGTCACTCTAAGACAATACTAGCACTAATAAATTATTAGCTACAGTTGTTTGTTGATTAGCAATGGTTTAAAATAGGACTATAAATGTAACCATTGGTGATATTGGTTGTATTTAGTTGTATTATAAAGAGGGTTGCTTTAAATCTGTCGTGTTCCTTGTACTTGGAAGCTTGTTTATATGATCTTAAGGTAGTCTACTCACTACTAAAAATGTTCAGTACTAAAAAATTCAGAACGATTTATTCCAGAATTTGACCGTGGCCATAGATTGCACAATTCAATTGAACATGTCAGCCCACCCAAGCACACCTCCTTCCCTGCCAAGAGCCAAGCAGTTGGACATAAAAGCACGTAATGGTGTCTCTCAATCAATCATCGCCATCATCCGACCCAAACAGCTTTCTGGACAGCTTCCAGGCAATCTGACAAGGTGCACCAGGAGTCTTGAAAAAACCAAGAAGACAAAAATCTTTTGCGTTAGAATGTGGTGCAAAAGGTAAATGTTTAGCTTCACTCAAATTCTGCCAAAAAGATGACACAGGAAACACTTCAAGCTTCAGGAAGTGAGGTCCTATGTCTGAGGTAATCCGAATGTTTCTCAATACCACTAATGCAAAGATTGTACTTGTGGTCTTGGCAAGACCAGCCCTGCTAACTTGCCTTCCAAGAATGAACTTGGGCTGCATTGAATCATGGGATTGGTCTCGTTCGGCAAGGATGCAACTGATGTGTACTAGATATTTGGGGCAGGGTAAAAATGACATCTGGGTGATTTTACCATCCTCTGAATATCTGTTCTTAAGTATTGGACCTGGTCTTCAGCAATGGATAATGACGTAAAATGGCTACATGAGGACACAAGTACAGTTAAGTATGCATACTGAGAAACACCCTTCGCTTGTTAAGTCATGACTTTGAAACATGTGACATTACTGTATCTGGGGCCAACCTGGGTACAAGCCAATATGTTTTAATTGATCTGAAAAAGAAAAAAAAATTGTTCCTAAACTTCTTTCCATGCAAAGAGAAAGAGGGAGTTGCTGTATAAATCAAACAGGCACTTCTCAAATTTTTTATGTTTAGTATTGGGGCGTGCCGGTACACAAAATTCAAAGTTGGGTACAAAGCATGGTATTGGGTTCATGGTTCAGTACAATTTTGGTACAGCAGGGACAACAGAATTTGTTCTGAGATTATTTATTATTAAGACCACAAACACAATTAATAAAAATTGTAAACCAAAGTCATGGCTGAATAACAAAAGATGCTTATTTGCACATTCTAAAAACATATATAATATTTGTAAATCAAAAGTTGTCTTATTTGTAACTAAATTTGCTTAAATGCCAAGGAGAGACCAATGATACTTTTCAACTAGCATACAGGAACTGAGCCGTACGTAAAAGAGTCTAGTTAGAATGCAGTTCCAGCTTGCTTTGGTTTTCCACTGATTTACTGTGTTCTGTTTTTCGCTAGCAAATCTGTCTGAATCGCTATCTCATGTTAGCATCAAATGCTAGTGGAATTAGCATTCACTTGCGTAAATTTCCATTGTGAATCCATTCCATTCAGCTGTTCTATAAACTATAGTACTTTTTTAAGTGGGAGGTTGGAAATTTTCAATTTACCGGTAATTCATCAACACATCGCGATGTTCAGTACTACTAATATTGAATATATAGAATATACCCTTTTTTCCTTCATATAATCCATGCATATCATACCAGATCACTATATCTCCATGCATTTTGACCAATCAGCAGAGATGGGCAGTATTTCAATTAAATGTACAGTGGTACCTCGGAACTCGAACTTAATCCGTTCAGAACTCAGGTTCGAATCCTAAAAAGTTTGAGTTCTGATCGAATTTTCCCAATAAGGAATAATGGAAAACCAATTAATTGGTTCCCGGCCCCAAAAAATTACACCTAAATGTTTTTTTTTTTTAGCATTTAAACACTACATGAACAGGATAAAACAAGAGCATATACTGTACTAAACACATCTAAGCACATTTATCAAAAGTAATTTGTAAAGTAAAAAAATAAATGTATCCAAACAATGTGTAAAGTTAAAAAAAAAAAAAAACAACGTGTCCAGCCCTGATCGTCCACTCCTTCCATATGCCACGCCCCCTCGCTAACCTTGTATGGGATCCCCGTGTGATCAGCTTTTTCTGGTTGTTGTCATTAGTCCTCATAGTGACTCATTTCCCCGCCGTAAAAGTTATCTTAGGTCGGCCTTCACGGTCCGACTTATGAGATTCAGATCGAGTTCTAGGTCATTTTTTTTTCGAACTGGTTGGTTCGACTTTTAAGAAATTCGAGTTCTAATGAGTTCGTGAACTGAGGTACCACTGTATTTGAAATACATATTAATTTTTTTTTTGAGTAATTTGTATTTAGCTGGACGGAAAATCAGATGTGATGTGTAACAAAATACATTGAGTGTTTGTATTTTATGTATTTAAAATATTTAATATGCTTAATAAAATGTCATTTTATTTACTCATTTCCTGTCAATTCAAGAACCTAAAAGGCTTACAGACTTTTAGATACAGTCTATCACCGTCTTTGGCTAGATGCGAGTAAATCACGTGACACCCTATTCGGCCCAGCTTGCTCGTTGTGATATTCGTTTTCCCATGACCAGGGGTGAGTTCCCCGAAACCTTCTTAACCCTACGTCATTCATAAGTTCTGCCTTTAAGTTGTACCTTAATATTCCAAGGTGTTCTACAAAACGTCCTGTTCCTAAGGACAAATTTAATTTCCATTTCTAAACGTAGGCATTTTTATAGCCACTGAGGCTGTGTAAAAAGGAGAACCGACTGGTGAACCTGATATTGCATATTATATGCATCACAGCCACTGATTCTTTTTTTTTTTTTTGATTGTATATCTGAAAATCAGTTTCTTCTTTGAGTTTCAGCAAGTTCGGCACGCTACTCTAAGACAAAGTGGGACAACCGCCGTCACTAATTCCGCAGGAAGCACTGGGTATAAATTGAGAGTGCAGCAGTTCTGAAACTGAGACCTACACTGAGATGCAAACGTTGGCGTCTCGTATCACGGTGCCAGAATCTGGAGTATTGACACCCAACCCAACCCCAGCCCGCCGGTGTAGCCTGTTGAGCTCTCATTGCGTTACTAAAAGTATTTTTTTTCCAAAATTAACACTTTAACACATGTAAATCATGAAACTATTATGCTATTACAAGACAAGCTTATGCATTAGTAGGGCTATAACAGTACGCGTATTCATCAGGTACTGTCACTATTTTAAATGTATTTTTGTATTTCCAAATTGCAGATTTCTTGTATTTTTATGAAATACATTTTCTCACACCAGTATTTAACATTTAATTTTGTTACATTTGATAAGCAAATATTTCTAATTTGTAACAAGATACTTTTAGAAGTATTTGAGCCCATCTCTGCCAATCAGATGGGGGTTATGGAACCATCTTGGTTTAGTCACGCTTTCGGCGTGTCAGTGTGGGTACAGCTTGCATAATTTACCATGGAAAACTGTCAATTTGTGGTATGGCTTGGGTACGGCCCGGTTCTTGGTGGCAGTGGAAAAGCACCATAACTGTTTCTGCCTTGCTCCAGTCCTTCACACACTCAGATGATGTCATCTGAAACAGATTAGCAAGTTGGATGTATTTTCAGCAGCGTTTTCGAGTTTGGTATATCAGACACGACAGACAGTTTTATCAGCTACTCTCTCCAGTGTTAGTGTAATTTATTGGGAAACCAAAATGTTCCCAAACCACCGATTATGACTGACTATAAACAGGATTAGCAGCAACAAACTCACAGCCATAATCATTTTTTCTGTGTTGAACATCTGCTTGTGAATTTAGGTTCCCCCCATGTCAAGAATTGCATTAATTTGTTTCATTGTGCGTACCAAACCGAAAATAATGTACCAAGCTGTACCAATGTACTGGGAGAACATCTACAATTAGGCTATTACTTTGTTTAAATTAAAGGAATTTAGCCCCCTTTTCGCTGAAGGAAGAAGTAACAACGCATTATGAAAGAATACCTCATTATTTAATAACTCGACAAAATGTAACAAATTTTCACTTCATTATGTAATAGCACCCGCATTTTATAATAACCACCGCATTTTGTAATAATCAAATTTTGTAATTGCTTGAATGCAATATGGAATAAATTTCCCTGCATTTTGTAATAAATTATTACATATTGTGGTGGTTATTACAAAATGCTGGAGTTGTACTTTTTAATGATGAAAATGTAATGCTATGCATCATGTAATAAACAGCGAAAATGGATGTCAGCATTGATACTTTGTCGTTTTTGTTACATATTGTGGTGATATTACACAATGCATTTTTACAAGAAGTTATGGTGAATAATGTTACCAGTTCAACCATTATGGTTTTTTGGCCCCGGAAACAGTTTTTATGTCATGCATTATGTCAGACTTAATAAGCGGATTAACTTTCTGTATCCCTCCAGCCACAGTCACCAGCATCTCATTTCTGTTACACCTGTCCTTCAATTATCCAACAATCTGAGGTTTGGGCTAACATGGTGCAGGGTTTCTTAAAGAACACCTCATGCAATTTTATGCATTAATATGCAATAAGAGTCCTTGTTCACAGTTAGAACTGTTGCCCACCTGAGATCTGAACCAGTCAGCTTCCTGCTGTCCAGTTCATTATTAATGCTACACTAACGAAATTCCACCTCCAGAAAAAACAAGAAATATCATTTTTTCTATTTTATTACTGTACCTCCTGATGGGGTCACAGGATCAGTGGCCTTAGTAATCATAAGCAGAGACAGGTGAGCGCACTGGAAGGATGAAGTGGCAGCGTAAGTCGTATTATGAAAGAGACAGAAGACAATTTGGCCATTTTGCAGACATTCCTTAATAACCTGTGCAGTTGTGTTGACTTGAATGAAACTGTGTATCCACTATACGACTGAGGCTTAATCGAAACCTCCGTGTTCTATTTGTGTCCCTATAGTCCTCGAGGAGGTGCCAACTAAGCAGTCTTTGGGAATTTACACTCATACCTCCGGCTCAGTCAATACTCAAGACTTAGTGCTTGCAACAGATTCTTATGCGGCGACTCTTTAAGGTCCCACCCAGTAGCAGCAGCGTGTTAATGTAGAAAATCCCCGGTGACTTTATATTGTTTTGTAGAGGCTTAACAATGTCTTTGCTGCTGATATAACCTGTAGAGTATGTTACAGTCAAAAAAAAACAATGACCATAATTTGAGGTCATCATGAGATCGGTAAAAAATGTCAAAGAGATTGATTTGAAATGTTTGGTAGAGATGTGGGTTATAATGGTTTGGGTCCAGTCTGACCTCTGGAGTAGTGGCTTGGCTGCTGTCCTGCTTCCTGACTCTGCATCAAGTTGAAAGGGTACCGTTTCAGGAAATGGGTCAAGACCACAAAAAGAGGCCACAGGACCATACCTAGCAACAACATGGATGATGTCATAATACATATTGTTACCTAAGGATGGCTCTGAACAAAAAATGGAGAAAAGCATTCTGCCAACATGGAATTTAGATCAGCACCAAAGCAGGACATTGCCACAGTTACTGTGGCATGCCTCTCTGTCACAGAGATTCCCTTATCTAACCTTGGGGGCAAAAGCACCGTAACAGGTCACCACTTGGGCGGCGCCCTAGGGCCACATACACTGGAACAGTAGATGTTCCTTCCCCTCTGCTCCAAAAGCTGAGCTCTGTGAATAAAGTGGGGAGGGTCACCAGAAACAGTTGGGCTAAGCAGGCGTGTGGGATAGCAGGTGGAGGATAATCTGAGGTTTGGGCTAACATGGTGCCCAGAACTGCCTGTCCTGGGATTGTAAAGCCAAAAGCAGGAACAGTAATGGCTGGAGCAGTTAAAAAACAAGATGCACGCTGACACCATATCCCTAGCAAACACACCAGGTCATAACACATTTAACTTGTAGCCGCCTGCACCCGACAACTGACATGTAAACATATCGAAAACAACTCCCTGACAACAAACCCAGAGAGCCAATCGGCAGTCAGTGAGGACTCCTGCTGAACATGCAGCAGTGGATGGCTTTCACCTTTTTAGGTATCCAAACAGTCTCAGACACAGCCCGTGGAAAAAGGTAGCACATGCATCAGACTTAGTCACCTCTGTTTTTTTCCGTCACGGTCTGTGCTCTTATAGATAATGGTAAAACCAAGAAAATCAGAGCCCTACCCCTTGACAAAGCTCTGTAATTTCATTTAAAAATCCACGCAGCGTTAGATTCCACAAAGCTCCGATTCACGTCCTGGACGAAAAATCCCACTGCACCTCTGGGGTAGCAAAATTATTTACAAATGTGTATTGAGAGTTGCGTGATTTTTGCTACATTTCTGCCATGGCAGGTCTGCAAATGCGTGTGGAGATTTGTCTGTGTGTGGAGGTTTTGAGGGTTCAGGGCTTAGCGCTGTCCCAATGGCAAGCTTTTGAGTGCTTAAGTGTGGAACGTCATCACATGTAAAAAGAGCCAATTGAGAGGTCCGCCTGAGTTGTAACTTATGACTTGTCTGTATTTCCAGCTCTTGGAGCAAAATATTTAGACTTCTTAGCCATTAATAGCTTTGTACGGATTTACAGATTTGTCTACAGACGTGCAAATCTCTGTACACTTGCAAATCTCATTATGCAATTAGAGATTCTTTTACAGGATTTCGAATCATTACACACATGAATTATGAATGCAGATTTACAGATTCCTGTAATCTCAGTACGCATTTACAAATTCTTTTACACATTTACAAATCTGATTACGCACATCCAGACTGAGATACAGTCACACAACTCTCCATACACATGTGCAAATAATTTACCTACAATAATAGCCCTATATGCACCTACTTACAAAAACGATGGAGAAGGATTTTTATTTATTTATTTCATTTGCTGCGGCTGGGGCAGTCATATTGCTAGTCGGACTGAGAGATGTGCATCCATAAATATGTGAGTGTGTGTGTGTGTGTGTGTGTGAGAGAGAGAGAGAGAGAGAGAGTCCAGCATGTTCCAGTTAACCACACAACTGCCAAGAGAATGGTACCCGCTGGGGAGTTAAGGCACAAGCATGATCTGCGTAGTTCCTCTCTGTGCGTCAGAAAGATGTGCGGCCCATTTACGCCCCCTTTCAATGACGCTGTGGAGGGCTCTGGGCCACATTAATTGTACTAATGGCTGCAATTAGTTTACAGATTGTTCTGTGGACTTCAGACACATGGACGTTGATGACAGTAGCATTACGTTGACCGTACTAAAAAGGCAGCATGATGCACCATGTAGAAAATCACATGGGAAATCTGGGAAGCTGCTATGAAAGGCAGCGCAGTCAAGGATGGGGGTAGGCAGGACCCATCGCGGTGGGTGGGGTGGGGGGGGGGTGGATGCAGTCTATTGGGGGTGCGGGAGCACAAATTCAGTACCCAGCCAAGAATAGATGACGCTGCATGAAAGTCAATGAGAAGAGGGTGGAAATCAAAGGCCAGCAAAAAGCATCCCATAATACACCACTGCACAACGGGCCAATGGGTCTCGAGGGATGTTGAAGTAATGAAAACTTGCTCCAGCAGCTAGGCTAGGCTAAGCGTGATATCACATTACGTAGCATAAAGAAGCGGTAACACACGGACACAGTCACGCTTGTGGTGACCCACTCCACAAACACCCCCCCTCGCCAGCTTCCGGCCGGTCTTCATACTGGGAAATAGTTTTTATTTTTGACATTCATACTACTTAATAGCAAGGGTGAGATTTTCCTGGGTAGGAGACCAAACAGGGAAAGAGAGGTTAATGACTAAAACCTGAGTTGTAAAAAAATATTAAGACCCACCATGACATAAAGATAAAAATAAATGTGTCATGTACACAGTATTTCTATAGATATGCTATATGCTCATGTTATGTATTTTTACATTTATACATACATGTGTTTCTGTTGACATCTCCTTTGTTTGTAACATACAAAGAAAGAAGCAAAGTCCATATTAATGTACTTGTTTTGACACCTGAATTTTAAATGGCCTTTAAACCCCTGGCAGAAGCGAACAAACGATAAAGTATCTCCTCCCCAATCCCAGTCCCTTCAGCCGCTTCTACAGTTCTTTCTGCCTCCAGCATGAACCCCCCCCCACCTGTGTTGCGGGGGTATAGGAGCTGGCATTGAGGGCTTGAAATTGCTTACCTACTATTCCATAGCCGGGGTTGGGGGGTGGAGAGTTATAGGGTCAAAATGTTCCCGGTCCACACCCACTCAGCCCCTGTTCCCCCCCACCACCTCTGTCCACTTCTTCTTCAGTCTCTCACCCGCCTCTTCAAAGACCACCCATCAGATCATCCACAAACCAGGCTGAAATAGTCTTAAGTTGTTTTTGTCTAAGAGGGCGGTGATGAGTCCAGGGGCAGGTGGGGAAGGGAGGGGCGGAAGCGGGTGAGGGAGGGTGGGTAGTTGGGGGCGGGGTCACAAAAGGTCGTCGTAATCGAGGAGCTTGGAGTGCTGGCGAGTTTTCCACAGGCGGAAGAGACGGAAGTCGAAGTACATCTCGATCATCTCTTTGCCTGGGGTGAGGGTTGAGGAGAAAAACAAGGATACAGGTACAGACTGCTATGTCTCCCAGTCCCACTGGTGGAGGTAACCAGCACGACTTAGACTTCCAGGCATGGAATGATTTGATCATTTCCTCAACAAACGGAACAGATACAGCTTCTAACTGGAGGCTATGCTGGGTGCACGAGTGCGCTGTTGTTTGTTTACGTACACCTGCATGCTTGGGTGTGTACGAGCATTTTGTGTGCGTCCATGGATGCGTGTTTGACCTTGAGCATGCCACAGGCTGTGTTACATGTGCGAATGTGTTTCATGCGTGTGCATACCCTGAGCCGACAGCTCCAGGGGAGACTCGAAGTCCACGGAGTACGGCCTCATCAGGTTCTTGAGCTTCTGGAAGAGCTGTAGGAAAATGATGAGGTTAACGTTGGTTGATTAATCACACCGCGGCCCTGAACGACCCCGCCCTCCCCCCCAGTCTCACACCTCAGCTTACAGGCTGGGGTAATTCTGCCCATGATGATGACAGGCCCATCGGATAGGCTGTAAATAAACGGCACGCTTCAGCAGAGCGGGCGGCTGCGATGGCGAGCAGGAGGGGGCCGTAGTGTGCCGACCGCCCATGTGAGCTGAAATGAATCTCTAATTTATGTGTCTTTTACCACCATTAAACGATGCGGGACCTACATTCAGATAGGCCTTTAAATAACTGCCGCCCTATTGCATATTTATCCTGTTGTCAGACCGATGATTAAGGTCACCATGCATATAATTGTTCAGTTATGGGTCTTCATTTTGGCAACAATCACCCACAGCACCTGGCAGGGCTTGGAAAAGGACAGAATGAACACATTCCACAGCGCTTTCCAGATACTCTCACTTTGAAAGTGTGTTTTCACTATGTATTCCATATCAAAATATGGAATACATAGTGAAAACACACTGTTAATCCTGGTTTACCACAGTCTGGTAACTGGTTAAATTGGTTTAGTGAGGTTCTGGGATATTCCATGTAGGAGTTTGCCTTCTCGCTCATCAGTGGGACAGTCGGTGTCAAGGATTAGATGTTTTCTTCTAGCGTTCGACAGTTAATCGGGAAATGACTGCAGTCACTGTGAGCTACAATCTGTCCCAGGAAGAACCAGGCACAAGGAGAGCATTGCAGCCAGCATCAACTCTAAAGGAAGATGTGGCTACTAAACCCTTTGCAATAATAAATGAACACTGAAAGGTCATGCTCTCTTTTACAAACCTGTGCAATACCTTACCGAGTTCAATCCGTGCGATACTTCTTAAACTTACAATGTGCAATAACCTGCTGTGTTATATATTAGTTTTGTACATAAGAAAAATATTTTATTTTATTGCTTTTAATATTCTATTATTTTTGCACTGCAAGGGACTGCACATATTTCCATCAAACTTTTATATAATGACTATAAAGTTTCTGATTCTGATTCTTTGTTCTGTCAGGGTGCTTGACAGCATGTACTATACCTTTGGGCCTGGTAGCGCGTCAGGAACTCCGTAGTCACTACCACGTTTGGCAAGTAGACACCAGGTACGGTCATTACACAGGAAGGCAACATCTCCACAGGGACTAAGACCACAGTTTTACACTGAATCCTGCCTCACACGCAAAAGTCAGGTGCTGTAATTATCAGCTAGGGAAACAACTCAAATCCTGAGGCTTTTGTATGGCTTTTTGGGGCATTTGGGAGGGGGCGAGGAAATCCAGATGAAAATGTAGGAAACATCTAATTTATATAGTGGCGTCCTATAGGGGCAAATATCTCTTATAGAGCAGGGAGGTTAAAATGAATCGAGGAGAGAGAGCCTCAATTGGGGGGGCACAGCACTTACAATGTTGTGCCAAGGTGTGTGGGGGGGGGGGGGGCTGCATGACTGTGCACTGTTACACTCGCAAAGACAGCACTCAGCTGAGCCGTGGGGCTTATGGGGCAATGGGCCCTATAAACAGCAGGATAACGAGGATGGGGAGGGAAGAGAGTCGGGACGGGGGGGTCAGTGCAGGAGACAGGCCTCTCCATGTTCCCTAGTGTTAGCAGGACACTAGCGGTAATGTGTGTGTATACATGTATATGCGCTTATAAAAATGGCATGTTTGTGTCAGCTTTTGTGTGTGTATGCTTATACAGTATGGTGCAATAGTCCTAGACCAGGGGTCTTAAACTCCAGTCCTGGGGGGCCGGAGCCCTACACAGTTTTTGGTTCACTCTCATTTAACACACCTGATGCAACTCCTTGTGCTAATTACCACACAGCTCTTGAGCTGAATCATTTGTGGTGGAAAGAACTAAGCTACACAGGGCTCCGGCCCCCCAGGACTGCAGTTTGAGACCCCTGTCCTAGACAGTCAAAGAAAATGTTTAATGCTATTTATCTGGGGAGTAGGTATATGTTTGCTCAGAAAAAACAACAGTTTAACATTAGAACCTATGCAAATTAAGAGTAACACGATAACTCTAAAAAAAAAAAAAAAAATCACTGATATCTAGTTGGATGGCTGGATGAAAATCGCTTCAGTTACCAAACCTCTCCTTAGGGGCACCTCAGCCATTCCATGTATTTGTTACATTTCACCACTGGATCATTTACTTGATTAATTAGTTAAAAATGTCAGTATTGATTATTGATTATTTATTGAAGTATTGATTAGCCATATGAGGTGCGCTAGTGGTCAGAAAATACGTGGATGTATTGGATGGTTGCTGCAAATACTAGGGGTGACTTTTCATTTGAACGTCATTTTCTTTAACTGCCTAAGACTTCTGCACAGTGCTGTATACAGGTTGTGTATATGTCTGATAATAACTATGCATGTATGTGAATGTATCTGGACAAAGTCCAGTTTGTTTGAACAGGGCAGAAATGGCAGCTGAAATGGGGACAAGAGTCCATGAGGTGGACCTGTATGCAGGACAATATCCATCCATCCATCCATTTTCTATACTTGCTTGTCCTGTGCAGGGTCATGGGGGTCCAGAGCCTATCCCAGAAGCTATGGATA